CATTCATCACTGCACAAATAAAATGTAGAAGTTTTGGTCCATAATACTGTTTCCTCCCTGGCAGCTGGGGCTCCTGTAGCAGTGGCCTGATGAGTGAGAGTCATGACCCACCAGGTTCTCACTAGGTCTCTATTAAACTTGGGGCTCCATTTTGTTTTATGTTTATTAGGCTTATCCAGATAGATAATCTTGTATATTTGGTTTCATGAACATTTAGCAACAGGCCTTCCCTAGCCTTTGAGTGTTTTTTAAATATGTGTATATGTCCACACATATACATACAGGTGCAAGGCCATGTGTGTGGTGCATATGGAGGCTAGTGGTCAAGTTCAGATGTCTTCCTCGATTACTCTTCACATTACTTTTCCTTCCAGTCTTTGTTCCTGGGCAGTTATTTTTTCCTTTTTTTAATTGAAAAAAGTCTCTCCTCTTGTAATATATTTTGATCATGTGTTTCCCTTCCCCAATCCTCCCAGATCACTCCCACCTCCCTAGCCACCCAACTTTATGGTCTTTTTCTCTCTTTCAATAAATTGGTGGCTTATAAGATGGAAGGTAAAACACATCACATGCAAACTTGAGGCGCAGGCAGATTTCTCCCAGCGTCTGTGTCTGCTGCCCAGTGGTAGAATCAGGTGGAAGAAGGACAGCTTCAGGTGTCTGGGTAGCAGGGACTATCTGACCATCCTGCACTGGGTAGGTATCTCCAGAAAGAACCAGCTCCCACTAGGTTTCCAACTTAGCACTGCTCCACAAAGGTCTGGAGAGGGTGGCGGGCTGAGCACTGGTTATGTGACACCTGCCCCTTGATGACTGCACACCAGGTCACCTTGACTTGCAGTCCTCCAAGACTAAACATAACTGAAGAAAGTCAAGTTCCCAAAGGATATCAGAGTGATGTTATCAGAAGTGGAGTGCGCAGGATGAATGCAGCAAATGTCCATGTACAGACTTAATAAACATGTGTTGATTGACAGTGGCTCCTTTCCTTTATTCCAAGGACATTTTACACATATAATACAAGCTACTTCTTTTGACTGGGATTCTGGGATTCTGGGATTCTGGGATTCTTCCTACTTCTAGAAGTTAACCACACAGGAGACAAATCTTTTTGCTCTCGTCATGCTGTTCAAGCTCAATTGGTTAGGCTTTAACCAACAGCTATTTCCTGCATGAGTTGCAATTTCTAATCAGCCAGGAACTTTGCCTCTCTCTGCTAACTTCTTTGTTTTGTTTCTTTGCTTGATTGTTTTTAACCCATCCCAGAACATAGCACATTCCCTGTCCTTACAAACACTTACTGATTGAATGAGAGGAACGTATAAATGAGTGTGTTAGGAAAGGGTGTTAAAGGGTTTAGATAAAGCGGTGATCTATATAACTGTCTAGAGAGGTCCTTCTCACCACAAATGAGGGGCAGAAGTCGCCATTCTCTTCCTAAGCACTTGGGTGGCACCTGAGAGCAGTTGGTGCATCACCCACTAGGACTGTGTCACCCTACAATCTTTCAGGATCCTGTGCTGGAGGGAAAAGAGGAAGGTCCATCAGGCAGCGGCTTTAGAGACTGCAGCTTCTGGCAGGGACAGAGGTCATTTTCAGCCTGACCTAGCATATCTGTCCTCCTCTGGGACAGCCACTCCTTAGTGAAAAATGGAGAGCTGAAAGCAAAACCTTTCACAGAGCACAGGAGAAAAGACTTGTTCATACAGCTAGGAGGCTTCCCAAGTGATGGACTCACATGTGCCCTGTGAAGCCAAATACTGGAGCTCTCCAGTGTGTACAGCATGACAGAGTCCACAGACCTCATACTTATTTGATGCTTTTCCCAAACAGACAAATGTCAATGGCCACATTTTACAGATGAGGAGAAGAAGGATGAGAACTTGGAGTCAGGTTCAGGATGTTTCCCACGCAACAGAAATTTCTCTACATGTTCAGAAAGACTATAATTTTTTAAGCATAAAAATCTCAAGGCCTCATCTTGAGCCCTAATGGTGATCCTATCCTTCCTGTCATTGGAGTAAAGTTGTACTATTATAAGCAAGAATTAGGGAAATCATGCATCCATTTGATTTTGATTCAACTGTGACTATTTTATTACAGGTAAACAATATTAGTTTTCATCTTACTTTGTTGAGAGAGAGAGAGAGAGAGAGAGAGAGAGACAGAGAGAGAGAGAGAGAGAGAGAGAGAGAGAGAGAGAGAGAGAGAGAGAGAGAGAGAGAGAGAGAGAGAGAGAGAGAGATTTATATGCAGTTCAGTTGGGCTTTTTTGAGTTTGGAAATAACAGGCTAATTCCATTTCTTTCCCATTTTGATCGGCATTAAGTCCACTCATTTCTCCTGGGCAGGCTATTGGTTCTCCACTCTGACCCCAGCCTCACTTCTCCCACCACCCCACCCCCATGGAGCTCCCTGGAGGTGGCAGGAGAAATCTTCTAAGTTCTGGTAACTTCTATGTGGTCTTTGTGGGGAGAGGTTATTAGCATGTTTTCAACATTAGATCTTTTTCTACAGGCCTTACACATAACATGAGCCAGTCCCTACACAAATGCCTCGGATTAAGTGATAACTCCACCGAGATTCATCAAAGAAGCATATGGAGAGAGACAATGAAGTTCCTCTTCAGCTCAGGTGAGTCAGTGACTTCCCCATTTTCTCCAAACATGGCTAGAGATTTCCACAAGCCATTCAACATTGACCAAGTCCTGAGACAGGTCAACCCACTCCTTACCATGTTCCCACTGTCAGGCAAAGGCTCTATATGCCATACTCAGCACCCTCTAAATTCAGAGGATAGTGACAGTATCTTCTCTGTCACTCAATCAGCTCAGCAGATTGAAGTTCACTGTTCAAGGCCACTCAGCACCTAATGAGTTGGAATTCTGGACAGGCTGGCTCAGAGTTGGAAGGGGAGAAGAACAAAAGTTAGAGATAGCGGGGTTCCCAGGGAAAGCTCTGGGGCCATGAGCAAAGGCTTCTCAGGGCACTGGAGAGAGGTATCTTTCAACCTAAACTCTCTTCTGTGTTAGTGAAAACTTAAATGTAAAATGGATAAGAACTTTAGGAGACTCTATCAAGGAACCACACTGGCTGTTGCTTTGTTCTCCCACTATGGTAGGCATTTGTCTCCAGCTCCTGTGGGATAATCCTTCTTTATACTATGAATATGTATTACTCTCATTTTTAATTTTTTGACATTGAAGAAGTATACTATGTTTATTTATTTATTGTGCAGCACATATGAAGGTAAGAGGATAAATTCCAGGAGATGTTTGTCTCTTTCTTCCACCCTGTGTGTCCCAGGAGTCAAACTCAGGTGGTTAAACTTGGATACATAGGCCTTTACTGGCTAAATCATCTCTCAGGCCCCATCATAGCATTTTGGTGACATTAATGTAGCATTGTGATGGTACAATTGAGCAGTGGATGTCATAATTCAACACTGTGAGGATACAACGCAACACTGTTAATTCACAAAGCAACAGGGTGATATCATCATGGATGTACATATTGTGATGTAATGAACATTGTGGTGGTAAAACAAACGGGGCAATGTGATGGCATGCTGCATCGTTGTGAAGTCACTATTCGGGATGCTAATAGCATTGTGGTGGGACACTAAAGCATTTTTGTAATATCTATTCAGCATTCTGTCTCACAATGTTGTACTGTGTCCTCACAATGATGAGCTGTATCACAGAGCTTCACTTTTTTCCATCACAGCGCTACAATATGGCATCAAAATTCTTGATTGTGACAGCCCAGTATTCCATTGTTTCAATGCAATGCTGACTTGTGTCATCACAATGATGAATTATAACATCACATTACTCATTTGTGCCATTACAGTGATCCATTGTCCCATAACAAGGTTGCACTATTACATCATGATGTTCAATTGTGCCATAACAATGCTGCATTGTGATATCACAATGTCATTTAATGACTTCACCATGCAGCATGGGGATAGCACAATGCTCTACTATGACATCACAAATTTCACATTGTGCCATCACAATGCTGAACTATGACATACAATGCTGAGTCATAATATCACAGTGCTGAATTGTGACATTATCATTGTGTCAAAACAATGCAACATTGTGATAAGTATATGACATGATCTTTGTGTCAAAACAATTCAACAATGTGACAACACAATAGTGTATGGATCCCTCAAGGTGCTCCATACCATCACAGTGGTTAATTGTGACATCACATTGCTCCATTTTGCCATCAAAATTATATAGAGATATCACAATGATGCATTTTGCCATCACAATATTTCATTTAACACCACAATGCAACATTGTGATATCACAATGCTACTACAAAGAATATGTATTATTCTCATTGGTTAATAAATAACTGATTGGCTGAGGGCTAGGCAGGATTTTCTGGGCAGAGAGAATGCTGGGAAGAAGAAGGGCAGAGCCTGAGGTGTCTCAAGAAGACACCACGAAATGCAGAGCAAGCAGGTTGGGAAGTACGTAGATGAGGTAAAGAAGCCTCGTGGAAGCACACAGATGAATAGAAATGGGTTAAGTTATAAGAGCTAGATAAAAACAAGTCTAAGCTATTGGCTGAGCACTTACAATTAACATTAAGTCTCTGTGTGGTTATTTGGGGAATGGCTGGTGGGACAGAAAATTCCACCTACATACAGCCCTGCATGAGAAATGCTGCTTCTTCAGTATGTTTCCATGCTAATCCCAAGATAATATCACATTGCACATGCTGCAATCTCTACCACAGTGGAACTGTAGGGTGATGATAAAACATTTCTAGAACCTCCTTCTGTCGGGGGAGGGGGTTGGCAAAACTTAAGGATCTTGTTCATCTTAGCAAAAGGAGTTAGGACCCTTCCCTTTAGGCTTGACTGTAGTCACACTTCTCATTTATTCAAAGTTTCACCACAGCAAATCCCCTGGTTTTGCGGAAGAAACTCCCATGTCTCCCTGGTTCCCAGCCCACCCTTCTCCCCAGAATAAACACCAGTTTGTTTGTAAGAGGTTTTTAATTTCATCTCAGTATGTCATTAATGAGTAGAATTAAGGATCTCTGTTGGTTTTCATTCACATAATATCTGCTACATTCTCCAACCAATCAGCAACACAGACACCATGGGTGCCACCTGCACCTGCCTCATTCTCACTCAACAGACTGGTTTGGGGTTCCTGATGGTTTGTATAAATTATAAGGAAGAGCACAAAAAAATCACACAACACAGACTCTACCACTAAGGGACATGCTTCCTCTGGCCTTGCAGAGAGTGAAGTGGATATGTGGGTGTGTTCAAGGCTCTGATGATACCCCAGGCATGATGTTATGCCTGTCACAGCCCCTCTCAGTGGAGTACTTCTGTCTTCCCCATGACTCACTCGTTTCCCCAGGAGGATCCTAACACAGAAGATCCCACCCTAGCACCATAACTGGAGATCAGGGTATGGAACTGTCCCTGTGTACAATGGCTGTTGGGTCTTCCTGTGTTCAAGGTCAGCAAAGTGAGTTGAAAGGAAGAGTCCTGGGTACCTGGGCTCCCTGGTCCTCTCTGATTCTGTGAGCTCCATGTGGCTGTTCATAAACAGACTCTAGACTATGAACCCTCAAGAAAGAGACAAACAAGGATCACAAGGAATTCAGGCTTTCTAGATGCATACAGTCACTTTTTAAATGACCCTTTAAAAAGTAAAAACAAACAAACAAAACAGCAACAAAAAAAAAAGCAGATGTGCAAGTCTACACTTGCTCTAGAATTCCATCCACTATGCCTCCTCCACCTTCTCAGATGGAGTTCTGTCTCTACCCATTGGAGCTGTGTCTCTGCCATGTGGGCTATACAGAGGCATAGGACTTGGGTTACAGGGGCTTCCAGCTCTATGGTCCCAGGTGTCCTCCATCATCAGGCACATGGTCTGGCTACATTTAAAGCCATATCAGATTTAGTCTCAACTGTGATCATGTCCTGGGTGGAGCTTCAGTGTGCCCAGGGAGGTAGGTGTGGCATCAACCTCATCCACACTCATAGAGAGGGAGGTAGGTGTGGCTATTAACTTCATCCACACTCATTGAGGCTGAGTCTGGGGGTAGAAACAACCTTGTTGATGCTGCCCAACAACCACATGCCAACAATCCTAAAATCATGTTCAGGGATTACTCTATTCCACCCAGACCCAGTGACTCAACCAGAATGAGCAAGAGTCCACTATAGAATGCTGCCAGCCATACGGAGTTGTTTTCTAGACCTCAAGGATACCCTGAAAACACAACGAACTCAAGCACTCAAAGCTATGGGGCCAGGTGGAGCAGCCCTCTCTACCCTGCCGATGAGTCTCTCCAAACTAAAAATAAAGTTTATAAAAGTAAATTATCTCATTTTATAACTTAAGTGCATCAAGCATTTTCCTTAAATACAGTTCACACTGAAAATAAAGTTAACTTTTGCTGTACAGTTGGTGTCTGTTACAATTAGGGATAAACTTTGATGATAAAGTATGAAAGGTTACACACACTCACACACACACGCGTCTATCTGTCTGTCTATTGGTATATAGATGAATAGACATACGGCACCTCTTGACAAGCACTTCTCCACAATGGTGGGAAGCTGTTGGAGTCCCTAGGTATCTAGCTTGCTTGAGAATGTCTATATTAAAAGTCCCTGTCCTTAATGATAAACACATCTTCATATCTAACACTAAGATTCTTAGAAACATTAAACTATGCGATCCATAATGTATCCAGTCTTTGGAAATGCTGAGCTACACCATCATTATACAACAGCATCCCCAACAAACATCCCTCCCCAGCCCACCTCGTCTCTGGCTTCCCCATCCTAAGGTCAGCAACCCCTCACACAGTACGGTTATTCCATATGGGAGCCCAGCCACAAAATTCTAGAAGACTCAAGAGGTGAAATAGGAATTCTGCATGGAGTACAGATGGTCAATGGGGTTTCCCACTCTGGACTGCAGGGGCCCCGCTTCTGATGTCGCTAGGAAGCAGTCGCCCAGGTTACTGAGAGAAGTGTCATCACTATCCAGGTCGTGGAAAAGAGGTTCAGCACCTGAAATGAAAATGGAACATGGGCATGAGAGTCTAGAAGCGACACCCTTACATGTCGTAGGAAATTCAGCTGAGCTCAACAAATGTTTCCTGAACACATTCTGCAGATAGGAACTTACTAAGTGTTGAGGTATGGGGTGGGGACAGCTATACATAAAAGTATCAGAGGCATAATGCTAGGGTCCGGAGCCTCACAGAGAGCTCATGTCCAAAGCTGGGTATGTATAAAGCAAGCCACATGAGCTAAGTGATGCAGTGAGGGTGTCCACACAGTGAAGGCGGGGTGTGCAGGCCTCATCACCAAAGGCTGGGGGGACACAGTCAGGGATCCTGCGAGGCCTTGGCCTCACAAAGGGCTCTTCAAGGACAGACAGTAAGAAACAAATATGGGATTCTTCAGGTGAAGCTCTTATCTTGCTGGTAACACTGCACCTTTCAAGCTGCAGAGTGTACCAAGGCCCCACTGTCTCCCCAGGTCTGTGCCCCACAGCAAAGGAAGATTAGGTTCCTGGTCTCAACTGATTTGTACCCTGGGCAGAGGGGCCAGGATGTCACTCCATGTCACGGCTGGGGCAATAGGGCCATCTGGGAGGCCTGGCAGGGTGCACCTGCACTTCAGGTCAACGGGAGAGGCAGACACAAGCACCTAAAACTTACCACTGAGCTTGAATTGCTCAGTCTGCTAGAAGTTGCACCACATAAGGATTGTAAAAAGGAACAAACACGCAAGCCCTCATCTGCCCTGCTCTCTTGTGTGATGGAGTGAAAATGACTCAGATGCATCCCACGTCTTCCAAAGAGGAGAAACATGTACGTCACTGGGACACACACATGCAGACCTAGAATGTACATGTCCCTGAGGTTGGTCAGGGAAGGTCTTCCAAGGTCACATCTCAGCGACTGTTTACTGAATCTGTGACATAGCAATGTCAAGGAGATTTTAACAGCAAATTGTACTACATATGGATTATGTGATGCATGTGTTGTATGTGGTAATATGTGTTGAGCACATGTGTGTGTGTGTTCATGTAGAGGCCAGGAGCTAATGTCCGATATATTCCTCTGCAGCTCTATATCTTGTTTTGTAAGGTCACAAATTTGGTGAGACAAAGTTCCAGGTATCCACCTACCTCTGCCCCTCAAGCACCGGGGGCTACAGATAGGTATAGCCATGTCTGATTTTTAACATGAATGCTGGGGAAACTGAGCTCATGTCCTCACGTATGTACATGAATCATTTTGTTGCTGACCACAGCAACAAAAACATATTAAAGAAAAGAAGTTGGCAAAGGGTGTGCCCCTTATGTCTCTGATACCAAGTTTTAAGGAATCGCTGAACCAAACTTTATTGTATATTCATCAGGGCAACTTATGGCATATTGCATCACATATTAAGTTACATACTGTATATAACACTGCCTTTCTTTTTTAAAAGAATTGTTTACATTTTATGCACATTATGGTTTTACCTGCATGCACGTCTGTGTGAGGATGCCCGATTCCCTGGAACTGGAGCTACAGACAGTTTTGAACAGCCACATGGGTGCTGGGAACTGAATCCAGGTCCTTTGGAAGAACACCCAGTGCTCTTAAACACTGAACCATCTCTCCAGCCCAAACACTGCCTTTCTTAATGTAAATATGAAACAGTCTTGGAGTCCTCCACTCATTCACTCCATCCTACTAGAGTCCCCAGACCGTATCCCTCGATCACTGGCTTAAGTGGCAAGGCGGACAAGGAAAGCCTCAACAAAGGAGCCTCAAAAATGATGGCACATGGAAATATCACCAAAGAACATGTATGGGACTCTTCTGTACCCATCAGATGGTGCCAACAACATTTTACAGGATACTTACCTTTATTTGGTGATTCAGCAAGTATCTGGGAACTGTGGGGATGTGTCTAAAGGAATTAGAAGCCCACACAAGCAAACTGAGGGACTGAGAGAGGACCTATGGGCCTGAGTTCTTCTTACCATAGGGGTGCATGTGATCTCCAGGCATCTGGGGTGGAGTGAGACCCTGTCGGAAGGGGTCAGCATTGTAGACGCTCTGTTCGATGGCCAGCAGCTGCTGTGGGGTTGGCATAGCTGTGTAGGGGTTCATGATCCCTTCCATTCCAGCAGTCCCACCACCATTTGTCTGAGCTGTGGGACAAAAAAGGAAGACAGAGCATTTTCAACCTGCATCCCAGCAACCCCCAAAAGACTGCACTACCAGATGTCCAGTGTTTATTTTTATGGCATGGCAGCCTGCTGCCCCCAAAGCAAGTGACCCTAGAGAACCCAAGTCAGAAAATAACGTGTTATTATATTTATTTAATCTGTCATTTGACAATTTTGTTCATGCATACAATGTATTCTGAGAGCTTGGAGGCTGAGAACCTGACTTTATTTATTTACTTATTTATTCATTTATGTATTCATTTTTTGACAATTTTGTTCATGCATACAATGTATTCTGAGGGGGGATGTTGAGAAGAATAATTATTTGTTTATCCTTTGACAATTTCATTCATGTGTGTAATCTATTCTGAGAGAGTAGGGCTGAGAGGACCCACTACATCCTTTATGACCCAGCTTTGGAAGTCGCACGCTCACTCACTCCTATTCCATGCTGGAGGTGACTTTCAAAGGGCATAGATAACAGTTTGTAAGAATCATGGAAGACCAGCTTAGAGGCTTGTGACTGAGCACACTATGTGATTGTGGCTATATAATTTTACTTTCCTGGGTCCTGGTTTCCTTATTACCAGCTAGAAAGGGATGAGGTGGCATCAGGGTTTCTCATCCTGTGCCTAGCAGTGGCCATGGCAGTGGAGGACAGAGATGGTGCCTGGGAAACTGAACTTTAGGACACTATAAGGTTTGGCAGCCACTTGAGGGGATGGGTCGAAACCTCTTCTCTGATATAACCCATTACAGGTTCATCAGTCAAGTGGGACTCACGATGCTGGACCATTTGACTTCATAGGTTGATGTAACAACCTATGAAAAGTAGACATGCTCAGCGATCACAGCCTGCTTCACTTGCATGGATACATTTATCAGAAAAAGTAAATCCTTCCCGCCTCCTCTTCCTCAGAATGAACATGGCTCACAACATTTCCCACCAGATCCTGCCTCAGGTAGGGGAGACCTGGACTACAGAGCGAGGTGGCTGGGAAGAGCCACCAGCTTACCAGAGCTCAGCCGCTGTGTGTTCTGCTGATCCTGTTGCTGTTGCTGCTGCCGCCGCGCCAGCTTCTTCATCTGATGAGGAGAGGAGCACAGGATTAGAAGTCAGAGGACTGGCGTGGGTCCACATGGCAAGGGAGAACAGAAAGGGTGTGACCTTTGCCCTTTGGTGGGAGGACTGTTCCTAAAGTAGAAGGATCGACACCCCCCACCCCCAGCTTTTACTCTGTCCAGGAAGCCAACATCAGACACAGCACCCTGACTCAGACGAATGGAGTCAAGGGTTCTCCTACTTTGCAGCAGCAGGGATACAGCTGGCAAAGACGCCAAGCGCAACTGGTCTCGGAACCTGGGACTTCTTCCCAGGAAGGAACACACACACACACACACACACACACACACACACACACACACACACACACACGAAAGAAAAGAAAGGAAGGAAGGAAGGAAGGAAGGAAGGAAAGAAGGAAAGAAGGAAAGAAGGAAAGAAGGCAGGCAGAGAGGGAGGAAGGGAGGGACGATAAAGCCAAAGATTATGAGAACCAGGCCAGGACATGTGTATAGTCAGGAAGAAAATAAGTAACCCAGGATTTGATTACTACCTAGGACAGTAAGGTAGTTTGGCTGGAGTTAGCAAGATGGGAGTGAAGACATTCATTCCACCTGCCACGACAAAAGCCATTTCACTAACACCAATGCTTCTTTTCTCCCTTCTGCAGGGCTGCAATGGCTGAAATAATTGCTGGTGGCAGAAGTTTGAAGTTCAGAGAGCTACTCTGCCTAGTAAGCCAGCAAGACAAAGACAGGTGAGGACGGGAAGTGGATTACCTTGGCTCTCTGGTTCTGGAACCACACCTGAACCACACGGACGCTCAGTCCTGTCTCTGCAGCCAGAGTCTCCCTCACCTGAAAGAAATTGAACACATGGGTCAAAGCATGAGTATAAAGGGGCCTCCCAGAGTAGGAGGCAGAACATTTCCTGGGTGGTGCAGTGTGAGGCATAGGTCATATTCTCAAATAAATGACCAGTTCATGATTAATGTTCAAATACACCCTAACACAAGCTATGCTTCCTTTCTGGTAGAGAAGGACATCATTCACAAGGTAAAGAGAAAAACAAATGCTCGTGTACTTAGACACACATTCCCAGGAGGCACTTCAGGATTCTCATCCTCTGAAGTTAGGGCTTTATGTGGTCTATTGGAGTTGACTGCTATTCAGCTGTAGGCCTTTGTATGCTTTAGACTACTCAAGGAGCACTAAAGTGAAAATCTCTTCGCAGAAGTAAATGGTTCTTTCTTGTTCTCTTGTCATTGACTTACATTTTTAACTTTGTCTTTTTATTTCCAAGTAACTTTGTGTATCTTGTGGATATTCATGTTCACTATTTTCCTTAGTGAGCCCTTTCCAGAGGGAATCCAAAGCATAAGAGGGCCATCAGGAGTCTAGCAGAGCCGGGCGGACAACTCTGATGCTGGCAAATGTACTGGGGTCATGTTGGAGATAAGGACAGTTGGAATCCAGAAACCAGAGATGTGTTTGGTTATCTAGGCCTTCTAGGCTCATGGTGAGGGGCTGGTGTGATGCTGAGAGGGACCCAGAGACACTGCCCCTTCTTGACATAGTCCAGAGAAGATGGGTTGGAAGAGTGTGAACAGGTTTATGAGTAAAACAGAGGGAGGCTACAGGAAACACGGTGCAATTGGGCTGAAGCTTGGAAGTGAGATGAGTGGTGTAGGTTTCTGAGGTATGTGCACCTACTAAGCCACTATAAGGAGTGGACACAGGTGCAAATGGCTTTTCCCTTTCCCATAACTACTGGTAGCCTCTCTGTTTTGTTGTTGCAGCTTTGTCCCTAGTGTGACACTTGTGTGTGTCCATGTCCCCCTCACTGTAATGGCCCCTGGGTAGGCCTATTTGTAACAGCCCCAGACAAAATACAACCCAGATCTTCATCAACGTGTGGGTGAAAAGCCAGAGAACATTGATTCAGTTGAAGATATCATTGGAAGGAATGAACTGTTACCCAGGGAATCCCCAAGTCGCCACACCAAGGAAACTCAGTAAAGACTCACCCATAAAAAGCATATTTTGCAAGACACTGTATTTTTATATTCTTTGCTAAGACATCTCATTTATATCACAACTAGTACTTATTATCACAATAATTTAACTGCTATTTATTGTTCCTTGTGGTTCTTCATGAAATAAGAGGTGATAAGGTACTTGGGAGTTGGCATGCACACAGGAAGTTGGGGGAAATCCTATTACTTCCCAGGCCACAGTTTAACTCTCCTTGGAGCCTCCTTCAGGGCTCATGGTCGCTATCACAGACTCTGAGCCACATTCCCTACAACTCAGATCCCCCACCATCCTCAGATATCACAGGGGAGTCCAGCTGCACACAGATGAAGGTGCCTTGCTCCCTCATCCCCCTCTTATACCTTTCTGCAGGGCTTGGAGGATACTTCAAATGAGGCCTTGAATGCTCTCCTCTGCTGGGTTGTCAAGATAGTTCTGGGACGTTTGGGTCGCTTGTGGTCCTTGCCATCCTCTGACGTTCCTTTCCCTGCCCCATGGGCTGACTTGCAAAGACTCTCTTCATCATCACTTTTGCCTAAAAAGAAGCAGAGATCAGTATCCCTAGTCCCCAGGTGTACCACATGGAGCCGTACGTTGTTCCATAATAAGCTCTGAGATGCCAGGATTCCAGGATGGCTTTAGGGTATGAGTGCAATAACCTGTGTGGTGCTGAGCTAAAAACTGGGAAGAGGCTAAGAAAACACTTCTAAAGCTCAGAGGCAAGCGTAGAAAGTCTAAAGTCATCATGCTTTATCATAGCATGATGTCCTGGCCCTACATTCATCAGCTGTGTGGCCTGACATGAGCTAATCACCTGAGTCCACTTTTCATGTAAAGAATCATGAGACAAGAGAGTCTGTTTCCATGGAATTGATGTAGGAATGAAACGGGACTGTGTTAGCAAGGCCTTCAAAATGCTGTTCGGAATCTAACCAATACCCAGCAACAGTTGGTTACCAGTGTGATTTCCTTGATGTCAGCTTTCAAAACTAGCCCTGAAAGACCCAGGCAAGACTTCCCAGAACTGTCAAAAACTTTAGCTGCTTCCAGGAGGTAGGAACTATTACTGTTTAAAGGGACATTAAAAAACAGCATCAGATGACTGGAAATGACCATGTAACACTAAAAATTCATCCAAACTTCTGGTCTATAAAACAAGCAGCTCCCTAAGAAAGGTATGCGAATTACTTCAATTCAATTAGTGGAGTGAGAAATATATGGGTGAGTATTTTCTCTTTTTTTATTCTTTGAGAATTCACACATGCATACAATGAAATACAATCATATCTACCTCCATTCCCCCCTCCAACTGCCCCCTGATATTCTCATACAAGTCTACCTCCCAACTTCATGCTTTCTTATATTTTAACTCACTAAGTCCATTTAGTGCTTTCCATGTGTGTGTGAATGCAGGGTCATCTACTGGAACATGGGCAACCTATCAGTAGCCACACCCCCAAAGAAGGATGCACCCTCCACCAATAGTCATCAACCACCAATAGGTCCTCATTTAGGGGTGGAGCCTTTTAAGTTCCCTCCCCATATATGCTAGAATCTTGGCTGGCTTGAGCTCGTGCTATGGATTCATGAGTGCAATAGCTATGTCATGTCCAGGAGACAACATTTCAGAGGGCTCTTCCTATCCTTTGGCTCTTGTATTCTTTCTGCCTCCTCTTCCATGTGTTCCCTGTGCCTTGGCTGGCCAGTAGGAGGGTAGTTGATTAAGATGACCTACTTAGAACTGAGTGCTTACAGAATATACTATTGACAATGACTCATAATGCCCAAAGTAGAAAGAAGTCTCTCCTCCAGGCATTTCTCAGAGGTTCAGGGATGTTTCTTTGGTCTAAGAAATGCCAGGGTGAGTTACATCTTTTCACTTTTTACATTAGGAGCCACTGAGAATTGTAGATCCTAGGGAGACCCTGCACTATCTCTGGGTCTTTCCACACTCCTTGCAATGAAACCCTACCTCATGGACTTGCCCTGCTGCAGTCCTTCTGGCTACTTTTTTAAAGCCCACAAACAGAACCAGAAGTTTCATGCCATACACAGTTTTGTTATTCCGACATCTTCCATAAAGGATTCACATTTGTACATGACTATTTGGTTAGAATATGAGCTGAGTTCTAAATTGGAACTTTACCAGAGCCAAAGATTTCTTTTATATGAAAGAGTAACATTTTTCTCTTTCTATGGACATTCAAAACACGTAACCTGAATGTGAAGGAGCAGCGAGTTGTGGATCCCCTAAACTGAACGAGGCTGAGGGAGGCAGGCACTCCTGTCCCTTATTAGCCCTTTGCTGGTCATATCATGTCCCCAGTCCCCCAGTTGGTTTCCTCCACTATGTACTGATGACAGTAACATCCACCCTGTGCCTGTCCCAGAAGCACTGATGCTATGTACAAAGACACTCACGTGACCTCAGCACACAGGTGATGCTTAACATATGCTGTAGAAAGGTTGTATTCTCTCTAAGCCTCGCTCCCCACACAAATAAAAGGTCCTGGGAGATTAAGGAGCATTAGCACCGGAGTCCTCATGAGGAGAAGGATGTCCCTGTCTCTCCTTCAGCTGTGAAGCTGCTCTTTCCCAGGGGTGATGTTGCATTTGCTTTTAGTCATAGCTGTGCAAAGGGTTTTCAAGGTGATCCTGGGAGGTTTGCAGAATAGCAAGAAGAAAATAAACATTGAAAGCAAATGCCTCAGGAAAATAAGATGATCCTCCCCCCAGAGGCTAAAGGTAGACAAAGAAAGTCATATTCATATATATTCACCCTCAAAAGGCCTTAATACGGTCGGAGACTCCCTTAACCTCTGATGAGGGTAGAGGTATAACTAATCCTTCGGTGACGCGTCTAAGGAAATGGGAATGACTAGCATCCCAGGCCAAGTGACATGCAGTTCCTCCAGAAAGCAGGCAGCTAGGAACCGGTCTGTAGGCTGGAACTGCCAATGAGGACCAAGGCAGCCTCAGCATAGAGAGTGCTTTAAAACGAAATCAGACGGTCTTCGGAAGCCTATCTTCTGTCGGTGGTGTCAATAAAACACTGTTCGCAAGTGTCTTGCAGAAGTAAGTCTGATTTTTTTATACTCATTTCTCACAGAGTTTAATGCAAATGGATATTGGAACTTTGGGTCATATAGCGAATGAAAACATGAAATCTAAAGTAATAATGGCCCATATATGCCTGGGCCTCTCCAGGAAACCACATGGTCCCATTCTCCCTCCACAGGAGTCTCCAAACCTCAGTCTTTGCCAGCTCTCTGATCCTGGTTCACACTCCACTCCCTATCCCCAGACCTCCAGCACCACGCCACAGCTCAAGGACAGTCACAGGCCACGGATGGGCGTATCTGTGTCCAGTAGACATGGATTTCCACAGCAGACACAAGGCCAAATATTGTCTGTGTGGTTCAGTTTACTGACCTTTGCTCTAGATCTCCCCCCTCTCCATTTGAATATATGCATCCGGTGTGTGTGTCCCACTCTTCTGGGTCCTGACTCTGGGGCAGGAAGAACTGTTTATCTGGTACACGCGAATTGGATAGCTAGCAGGCTCTAATATACTCTATGCTGTGGTCAATAATATGTATACTTTTTTAAAGCTTATTTTATATACCAATCCCAGTTTCTCCTCCGCCTCTCCTCCTGTTCCCTGCCCCCCTCCACATCCACTCCTGTCTCCACTCAGAAGGTTAAGGCCGCCCATGGGAGTTAACAAAGCTTGGCATATCAAGTTGAGGCAGGACCAAGCTCCTCCCTCTTGCATCAAGGTTGGGCAAGGCATCCCGCCAGAGGGGATAGTTTCTAAAGAGCAAGTGCATGCATCCAGAACAGATCCTGGTCCCACTGCTAGGGGTCCCACAAAGGTCAAGCTATACAACTATCAGGTGCAGAGGGCCTAGGCTGGACCCATGATGACTCCCTGGCGGTCGGTCCAGAGTCTTTGAGCTCCCACAAGCTCAGGCAAGCTGTCTCTGTGGATTTCCCTGTTATGATATTGACCCATCTTGCTCATGTAATCTCTCCTTCCTCCCTTCATCTGAACTCCTGGAGCTTGGCCCAGTGCTTGGCTGTGGATCTCTAATGTGCATACTTTTTAAATGGGGTGCTGCTACCTAAACAGTCACCGGTGTGGCCTTCCAGTTGTCCTGGTGGGTCTAGGTGAGTGAGATTCTGAAGAGAGAGAGTGGCAGGTAATCTGGAATCTCAGGAGCTGCCCATCCTCTGTCCTTCAACCACTTCCTGTTACAGTGTGCGTGAATCCTAAGAGGCCAAGTTGTTTTGTGGCTTTCTTGGAGCTACTCTGAACCGCTCTGGAACATTCGCAGATGCTCCTCTTGCCTCTCTTTCTGCAGGGCAGTCTTGCCAGACCCCACAGACTTCACCATGAGAATATGTAGTGTGGAATATGTCTCCCAGAGCCGGCTGGAGTACTGGGAAGCAGACAATGGTAGAAAACCTTCAAACAACGAAGTGAAGCAGGCGTCTTCCATTGCCAGAGCCTCCCACACCCCGAAGTAGGCTGGAGCTATCCCTCATAATTTAAGGTGACATCTCTCAGCAGAGATGAAAGGAACAGCACTCTCAACTCTCCAACAACAAATGTCAACATCCCTGGAGGCCATTTAGACACAAGCACCACATAAATCTGACTCTTAGTGGGGGAAGCCCAGAGATTAAGTCCCTCTGTAAAGCCTACCAGAGAAAAATGAATTGGCTTGGCACAAAGTTTGAACATGTTTCTCGGGGCCTTTCTTTCCCCGCGCCCCCCCACCTTTTTTTAAAGTCTGGACTGGTTCGGGGGTGCTGTTTCTCCATCATCTTTCTGCCCACTCATTTATGACATAAGTAATCGCAGATGAAAGAGCCAGCCATGCTTTATGGCCAGGAGACCAAGCATCACTACCTGTGGGGCCTTGCAGATTCATTTCAGGTTGTTGGAAAAATCCCAACAGCCTGTAAACAGCGTATAAGATAACTGAGCTTGGTCCAGGAGGTGAGAGTGAGGGAGGGGGACAAAAGATCTTCGCGCTAGGAGAGAGGAAGACAAGAAAAACCTCCTCCCTCCCCATGCTTCTCCAGTGATGAGCCTCATAACTGTCTCCCAGGCTGGAGGAGTAGAGGAAGGCTCTGGGATTTGTTGTAGGTAGAGGGAGTGGGGGAAGTTGTCAAGGAGGGATTTATGATGACGGGATACATAGGGGAGCTGTTTCAGCCACTGCCTTGCACTGTATGGGATTGGAATTTCATCCTTCCTGAGAACAGCAGTGGTTGTCTCAGGATATGATGAATTCAGAACAGTGTGTAAAGTCCAAGAGGCGAGAGTTGCAGGTCTTCAGACACAGAGAGTACATGTGGTTACTGTTCTCCAAGTGCCTGATACACAGTTCTTGGCAGAGAGCTCAACTCACACCAGGCAAAAGACCTAACAAACGATCTGACTGGAAATTGGAGTGATGTCTCATTGCTGGGAAACTGCTCATCTTGTAAGTATTAGAACCTGAGTTCAAGCCCTCAGATCCCATG